TATATGTGAGCGATGGAAAATCACTTAAATTCAGACTATAGGGACTTTTAGGTTATCATTAAAGACCGGTTATTATTTGGATTTAAAAGAGACATTTGTGAAACGTCTTTTAAATGGAATTTGGCTTCTATTTCTACATTGAACAAATTCAGTTATTCTTGTTCAATTGGAAATAGTCAGTTTTGTCTATTTCTTAATTCAAATGTTTTGGGTACAAATTCTTTATCTAGTTGTGATAAAATATATTTTCTTAATACAATTTTCTCTTATAATGAAACATTGCATGTGAATTCACGATATATTGAACGTAAATTAATCAACGATAATTCTACTTCATTGTGGCAGAGGCATTTAGATCACATCTTTTGAAAGAAAATCGAAAAGCTTGTACCAGAAGGAATTCTTAATCCCCTTGATTTTTCAAGACTTAATTGTTTGTGTTATTTACATTAAGGGAAAACAAACATAAAGAGATCAAATGCCAATAGAATTTCAGACATCTTAGAATTAATTCATACAGATATCTATGGGCAATTCCTTTCGACTTCTTAGAATGGTCAACAATAATTTATTACGTTCATAGACAATTTTTCTTGCTATGGCTACTTATATCTCATTCATGAGAAATTACAATCACTGGACATGTTAGCTTACAAAGATGAGATTGAAAATCAACTCAGCAAAAGAATTAAATACATCATATATGACCTCGGTGGTGAATATTAAGGCAGATATGACTAATCAGAAGATCAACATCCATGGCCTTTTGTTAAATTCCTAAAGGAACGTAGAATCGTCTCACAGTACACCATGTCAGGATCGCCAGCATGAATGTTGATATTGAGAGACGAAATTGAACACTTAAGGACATGGTAAGGAGTATGATTAGTCATTTCACCTTACTAGAATCTCTATAGGGAAAAGCACTAAAGATTACAACTTAAATTCTCAATAAAGTTTCAAGTAAAGTAATTGTCAAAATCCTTTAATGAGCTTAGGACAAATAAGAAGTCTAGTTTTAAACACTTACACGCCTGGGGTTGTCCACTTGACGCAAGGCCTTATAGGACAAATAAAAGAAAACTAAACTCTAGAACCTCCAGTTTCTATTTTATTAGATACTCTGAGAGGTTAAAATGTTACAATTTTTATGATCCCACTAATAGGTTAATTTTCAAAATGAAAAATGTCATGTTCTTTGAGGATGTGGAGTTTGCAGTGGGAGATAAGGTTAGAGATTTTATCTTTGAGAAGGAATATATAACTATCTCATTCTGTTGCAATTGACAATGATCAGGACCAAGAACAAATTCTTATTCCCAATCTTGTTGAAGAAGCAATTTCGGATCAAGACAATATCTCTGAATCCCCTATACACAATTAAGATATTGTTCCATAAGAACAAACTCAACAACTTTAAGAACAAATGTCATTAACGAAATCCACTAGAGAAAGGAAAAAGGTAATTTTGGATAACTTTATAGTCTATTTTCAAGAACTTGAGGATAGTATTGGATTGGTAGCAGAAATTCCAATCAACTTTTATCACGCAATGTAAAGAGCTAATTCTCAAAAGTGGATTGATGCCATGAATAAAGAAATAAATTCCACCAAAGACCGTTTAGGAACTCGTCCCGTTGTCTTCTGGTGCCAAGCACATTGGTTGTAAATAGATATTTAAAACCAAGATGGATTCCAAGGATGATGTGGAGAGATATAAGGCTCGTCTTATTTCAAAGGACTTTACTTAAAACGAAGGCATTGGCTTTAAACTCTCTTCAATTTCTACAAAAGATTCTTTAAGGACTACTATGACACTTGTGACACATTTTGATCTTAACCTACATCAGATGGATTTAAAGATGGCGTTTCTCAGTAGTACATTGACGAGACGATTTATATGGTACAACTAGAAAACTTTCTGACCGGAGACTCAAAGATAGGGGTTTTTGCAAATTAAAGAAATCCATCTATGGGCATAAGTAGGCTTTTCGTCAATGGTGCCACAAATTTCATCAAGTAATTATCTCGTTCGGTTTTGAGATGAATATAATTGATGATTGTCCATATCACAAGTTCAGTGGGAGTAAACATATTTTTCTGGTATTGTATGTTGATGACATACTACTTGTCTACAATGATATATGCTTAATGGACAAAACCAAGAGATTTCTATCAAAGAATTTTGATATAAAAGATCTTGGTGACATCTCTTTTATATTAGGGATACAAATACATCGGAATCGTTCTTGGGATATTTTTGAATTATCGCAAAAAAGCTATGTCGAAAGGGGTTTTAAAATATATGGGATATATGATTGTAAATCAGGTGATACCCATATTACTTGGGAGACAAGTTTAGTCTCAATTAGTGCCTTGAGGATAAACTTAAAGAAAAGAAATACAAAAAATTCCCTATGCGTCGGTAGTTGGGAGTTTAAAGTATGACCAGGCTTACACACGTTTCGATATAGCATTCATTGTTGGAATGTTGGGAAGATATTTAAGTAATCCACGAATGGATATTTGGAAAGCAGCCAAGCATATTATGTGGTATTTACAGAGAATGGATGTTTACATGATCACATATAGAAAATCAGACCAATTGGAGATCATTGGATATTCTTAATATAAAGACTATGCTGGATGCCATGCTATGAGGCATCAAATCATGGAATATGGCTGCAAACCTTTGTCATTAAGTTGTACATTGTAGTTGGAATTGAAATACCACTCAAGTTATTTTATGTTAATAAGTCATTTGTCTTTTATTCCAACAGGATCTCGACGATGTCAAAATTTATAGACATCAAGTTCCTAGTTGTTAGAGAAAGAGTTCAGAGTGGTCAAGTTTTTATAGAGCATATTTGAACAAACTTTAAGATTTCGAATCCTTTTACTAAAGAACTACCGCACAAGATCTTTCATAAGCACAATACTCATATGGGTGTTGCATCTTTTGATTATATGGTAATTTAGTGAGAGTTTGTATTTGATTGTTTCCAATTTATACACATTTTATGCTTATTTATTCAATTCAGTTCCACTCTAATTAAAGTTTTTGGTTTAATCTCGTTAAAGAATACTGTAGACCAGTTGGCAATAAGTATGTTTGGATCACATTACATATAATTTTCATGCTACATATACATACTTGATCTATATCATTTGATTATGTTGATATACGTGATCATTGATGGATTTAGTTATGATACTTGTAATGAAAACCGCTTTGATCATATATTAATATAATCAATGGATGAGATTGTTCGAAAATACTTTTTTTTATAATAGCAAATTCTGACGTCATAAGGTTATGTATATTTGTAAGGTAACATATGTAGTCCAAGTGGAAGATTGTTGGGTATTAATTTGTAATGTGGACCAATACACACACACACACACACACAAAACAAGAACATGCAATTTAAGATTCAGTGATGAAAAATTATTTCCAAAAAATCAAGGTATGTCCCGCGCTTTATAAGTCTCTTGCTGATTTGGCATGGAGGATTTTGGTAATAAAGATTCAGTCTTTCTGGCAGCTATCTTGCAAAACCTAGATTCTTGCTAAACAGTTCATTTTTCTTCTTTTCTCTCTTTATGCTCGAAAACGTCTTCTATCGACATCGTCTGCTTACTCTTATCGTACGCTCTTCTTACCCAAAATCATTCCCAAATCGTCTGGTACTTTGTCCGCTCTCCCTTTCCTGGTGAAGGAGAGANGTCCCAATTAGTTAACAATTGAATTCTATTTGCATGGAAGGTTCTTACCTTTTTTCTCTAGTTTTAATTTGAGCCACATTTTTTCCAACAAGATCTAGGTCAAAATTTAAAATTCTAGTCTAAACTTTGATAGTATATTATTTTCAAAAAAAAATTGTTTACCTTCTTTATATATATTTATTATGGTACCCTTGTGATATGTTAATATTGTATTTGAAAAAATCTGTATACCTTCTTCGTGGATAGTTATTATGTTGAATTAAGTTATGTATACATTGTTGTTTACATTATCCATGATTTATTTATTTATTTTGTGTACCAAAATCTGGACAATGATACGATAGAGTGTTGTATAAATCAACAGTTTTGATGGATGCCATGTGGAAGAGTATCAAACTTAATTTAAAGGAGAATGTACATATAACAAGTGATATGTTATATATTGTACTTGGAAATCAATAAAGTATGAATAGAAGTTATTCAAATCAATATGTATCCCAATGCAAACAGTGGGCGTGAGAGGTGCGAATGAAACGTTGCCATATTTATGCTAATAATCATATTCATTTAGATTTGAATTAGGCTAAAAGGCCTGGCAGAGTCGAGCCTCTCACATGCATGGGACCCGCCTCATTAAAAAATATCCCAAAAATACCCACCCCACCCATGTTTGTGTGTGTTTGGTAGGGGGTTCTGTGAACCCCTACCTGTACACCAAGCAAAACCCTTTAGATTTATGATTATAATAAGTTTATGCGGTAGTGATCTCATGTTACATTGTTCAGTGAAAAAATATATTCCAATTTATTAGTGATCCTACTTCTACATAAATTGACGATGATCATCATACTTGAATATCATTATTCTATTTTACATACAAAGTTAATAAATTGTAGCGCCTAATTGAAGACTGCGTTCATTGCCCAATTCTTAATTATTAATCAAAACTAGACAAACTTTAATGCGAGCGGTAATAATGCATGGAAATAAAAGCGTTTCTGACATTTCCTAGAATTAAAATTTTTCATGAACTATTTTCTACTTCATTTTCATGCTCCAAGACGTCATATATTAATGAATAAAAGAAGAAGCGATACCATGACATTCTATAAATTTTAACCTAGTAGTGAATGCATAGGCCTGCATAAGTTTGTAGTGTGTTCGATAAGGAGAATGGAATGGTACTACACTAATAAAGAAAAAAAAAATTGAAATATGCTATTCCAATTGTACTTCGAGAGGGTGGGGTGGAGTGGGATAAAATAAAGTGAGTGTCATCTAGAATGATAAGCCAATGGTACAAATTCAGACAAGGGAGTGGGAATAGCTGAAGGAGAAGGAGAGTTCCTACAAAGTGGGCAAGAGGCATTCACCTGAAGCCATTCATCAACACAAGCAGCATGGAAACAGTGGTTGCACTCCGGAATGCACCTTAGTGTATCCTTTGCACAGTACTCCAACAAGCAAATGGAGCATGGCCCATTATTAGGCTTGGGCAGTCTCCGGCTTTCGCCTAGTATGATGGCCGGGTAAGACTCTATTATCGGCTTTCCCAGGCCAAGCACCAGCATTATGGGCTCTTGGGACCGGTTGTTTGACTCCGTTGGATAGTTGTTCGACCCTTCTCTTCCACCTCCGGATTTGACTCGGATGCAAGCGTAGGAAGCCAGCATGATGGTGGAGATGAAGACAAGAATGCTGACAGTGATAGCTATGCCGTAGCCGAGGCTGACGCCGCTGGAATATACCGGCGAAGTAGCGGTGGACATGGGAGGAAAAGGTTGAGATCTGGATACTAAGAAGTAAGCGTCCAATGAGATAGATAATTGATTTGTTGGTCCCAAGGGGACCCAAGTTTTGCGGAGTGAATTTAATAGGGTTGGACCATGGACTAATGAAAAAGTAGTTGCATGTGTTTAGTCCTTGTAATGGGCCATTTGGTACAAAATTCAAGATAGTTAGATATGGACACTTTTATTATATTAAATTTGGTGATGAAGCTGAGAGAATGCATATATGGCACCCCATTACGCGTTACCAAGTTGTCACTTAAGAAATAGTCTTTCATTGCTCATTAAATTTCGAAAAACATATTCTATTATTTATTATACTTTTGAAAATGTCTTCAATTATTCACTAAAATTTAATGTAGTCGAATTTTCACCACTAAATTTATAACAATTACATCATCTTGTTGTTTGCTAAATATGCGTAGTGCAAATGCATGTGTCGCTTACAAGTATAAAGTGGACAAACGAGTTAGAGTTGTTGATCCCATGAGAAATAATTACTCAATTACACTATAGTTAAATTTAATTTTAATAACGAAACACACAATAACTTCGGTTTTTGCAAATGATGAAAATAGCTTTAAAATCTACAAAAATAACGAAAAGATCACAGTCATAAGATTTGTCCTCAATTTTATTATTTGATCGAACACGTCACCAATTCCTTTAGAGAATTGAAACACATGTTATGTCACTAAATAACTAAATAACGTCCAACGTTTCGATAGTTTAGTGGTCAAAACTCGGATGTTATGTCATCACCATCCTTGTAACCAATTAGAATTAGGAAGGCCACCCTTGACATCAACACCATCGCACTCACCAATTAAGATAAAGCAATGATTGTCTAGGTTGCAGACAATGATGACCTAGGAAACTTGCCAAGACCCATGTTCTGAAAAATATAAAACATGACTAGGTATATGATGACTAAGCTTCAAACTTTACAAACCTAGCCCAAGCGTAAAAAAAGAGTTACTTATTTTTATTTTAAATTCTTAACCATTCTAAAAATTGTTTAATAATTAATATAATACATACCAAATATCTAAACTTATAAAGTCTACATTTACTTAATAATTCCTACAATTAGTCTTTAATATAATTTTTAAATTTTTGAAATGCAAAAGCTAGAGTATTTTTCATAGTTTCATTAAAAGATTTATAGGAATTTTATACATACTTTCGAAGTTTCCAATAAAATGATAAATTTCAAAATTATAATTACATAATATAAATAGTACCGTAGCTTAAATCTTATCTAAATCTTTATCGAATAAAGTCAATTTTATTTTTGTATAAATAAATTCATTTAAAATTTAAAACTAAGTCAAATAAAAACATTTTAAAAAAGGAAAAACGATACGGTCCAATCAGACTCCGTTTCCACGGGTTCCCAAACCACTTGAAAATCATCATCCACATTGATGAAGGTACCACCGTGAGAGACAACAAACCTCATTCCATCCCCAATATTTGCATGTCGTCAACATAACTACGGTGAGCTTTCCCACGAATACCCGAAACAAATATACTACCCACACACAATATGTAAAATGCTAAGCACACAACGTTCCCTAGCTTTGCCCATTTTTTTCTATGATTCTCGACATTTAAAAATGTTCAGAATAATATCTTATTCTCGACCTTTGGATACTTTTGAAAATGATATATCGAGATTACACCTTATCGGCATTTATCATCTTCTCCACATTGTTTCAAAGAATTCATTTTCACTATTAATGACATGGTCAATACATACCTTATATTTCTTGCTATCAAAGTTATTTAAAAATAATGTGACACAATTTGTGAGTAAAACACCACCAACATGAATTTTTTTTAGGATACTTTAAAAATCTTGCAACTTATTTTGACTAATTGTTTGTGATAATTTAATCTCTTTCAATCACATATATAACAACAATAATTCAACACAAACAAGATTTCAAAAATATTACCTTATACTGTAATTCGTGGAAAGTTGAACCGCAAATTCATTCTTTTATTTTTTTCAAAATGAAATTATGAGATTTTCATCTTGTTAGTGCGTATATTTTTTCACAATGCAATAATGCTAAACCATGTTTGACATCATCTTCCTTTTTTATTTTCCAATATTCAATTGTCATTTTTACCTACAAAATAATGCAAGAAATGGAACAAATGTGTAATAACTTGCACATCATGTTAGCTTCTCATCACGGAAGTAGCTTCATTTATAATACCCCAAAATTATATAGAATGGAATTATTTGATGTGATGATGATTTTTGAGCTAGATGCCTTTTTATAATTTTGAATGTTGAGGGAGCAAAGTAAAATAAGCATTAAATTCAAATTTATTTAAGTCAGATAATTAAATATTGGTGGAGCTAGAATTAATATATCGATATTAGCTCATTTTGTAACTTGTAATTAATTACGTGTTTTTTGGCACAAGATAAAGTTGATTTGGATAATATCACGTCAAGTTAGATCTGATTTAGAGTAAATAAGGTTAGATTAAATTATTTTATGATTTAAATTTTTGGAAGCCACGTGTAGGATAATGTTGATTTTGATAAAGTTTAATAGTATTCCTAATTCTATTATTTGACACAATTCTTATCCAAATTCCTTTTATTATACGATTTTTCAATTCTAGTTGCATACAAATTCAAATGTGAATATCAACTATAAATATTGCAAGAATTCCCATTTTTCATCACAAAAATAAAGAGAACCACGAGAGAGAGAGAGAGAATGAGAGGAAAAAGTACAAAAACATAAAAGAAGAAATTTTACACGCAAGATTTTATCTTCTTTTCAACATTTCAATAACGAGGTAAGGTACATAGCATGCAAGTGGTTTGTTTCTTTATGTTTTTATGTGTTCAATGATATATGCATAAATTGTCAGTGGACCTTCGGGTTTAACCCAATAAAATATGAACTCTATTGGGTTCTTTATAATGAAATGTAAAATCCTCCAAGAATTCGAAATGAAATGAAATGTGAAATCCTTCAGAAATTCGAAATGATTACGTGATGAGTGTTTCGTTTAATCATCGATAAACATCAAAATTGGCTTGATGTGTTCATAGGTAGACGGAAGAGACCAGATGAGACGTAATGCCTTATCCTCATCATCTATCTTCACTCCAATAGCTTCCAGTTCTGAAACAATCCCATTGAGAGCACTCAGATGATCTGAGATTTTCGTACCTATCTCCATGCGCAAGAAATGAAATTGTTCCTTCAAGTACAGCCGATTTGAGATGCTCGTTGTTTGATACAGTTCTTCTAGTTTTTCCCACAGTTCCTTTGCAACAGATATTCCATGAATATTTGCAAGAACATTTTTAGCCAGACAGAGACGTATCGTGCTTGTAGCCTTCAAATCCAATTCCTTCCAATCTTCATCGTTCATACTGGATATTTTAAATACTCACTCTTACAATAATTTATTGGTCAGTTCGGGTTGAAACGAGATTTTATTGGAAGTAAATAATACATAGTTCCGAAGATTATTCTTTGGAACAAGTGCAAAAACATCTTCGAATTGAACAAGAATCGAGGGTGTTCGTTGAAAATCGTAAGGCAAGCGCACGGGTCGCGTTCAAGTAATAAAGTGGACCTTAAGAGTCCGGATTGTCACTCCCACGAGGAATGTATACTTTAGATTACACACTCTAATCGATTTTAATTCTAACAACAAAAGAAACACATACAATTAAAAGACATGATTCGAAAAATGATAAAATAAACTAAAAATCTACAAAATAAGAAAATAAAACGTCTTGGCAATTTCGGAGGGAAAAACGTAGTTGGAATTTACGATATTGCTTAACCTATTGTTTCATTAATATCAAACCAATAACATACCGATGCAAATTACCAAAATGCGATAGTTAGACCCGATTTTCCTATTTTAAATTAATACTCTCTTTCGAGTGATATTAACCCTAATTAATTAATTCATACCACATATTTCTATGTCGATACAAACTTAACTAATTGCATGAATTGTTGTGAAAATAACTCAAATGGTTAAATTATTGAGAGTAATTACCCAACAAATCTAGGGTATCGATTATTTCGACCTAGTAAGTGCAACAATTTCTCAATAATTACACAAACTACTTAACAATTCCATCTAGTGATCAAGTAAATGAAATCATTTTAAACATGATAATCAATACACTATGATTTTGATAACAAATGCATTTTTCACTAAACATGTAGATATATCAATAATTAATGAAACTAGTTAGGTTAAGTTCAATCATAAATTCCAACACAAAAGTCTTAGCTCATGTTATAAAGATGATAATAAAGGAGATTCATATTACAATACATTGCAAACATTGGAAAATAATGAAGGAATACAAAAATAGAGATACAACCCTTTTTTAGTGTAGATTTGAGTTCCTCCAATGTTTTCTCCAACACTTTGATGTTTGATCTCCTTGCTATCAACTCTTCATCCCCAAAACAAGCCAAGAACATTAACTAAACTAGAGAAATAAAAGAAAAGAAGAGGAGAAAAACTAGAAAACTAATGTGAGAAAACTAAAAATAAAAATATCCTAAGTTGTAGAGAGAAAAAAAAAATAAAAAAAAGGTCTACCCCCCAAAAAAAGGTCCCAGCCAAGTATATATAGGATAGATATTTTCCTTGCTTAGCCACAAAGTCTTCAAAATATCTAAAGAAAATTGCAACTAAAGTCCCCAAACTTTTGGAAAGTGGCAAAATGGTCCCTAAACCAAGTTTTTCAACAAAAGTGGTGCTGCAACTTTATCCTGTAGAAAGTTAAGAATTTTCTATCATTGTACAGCTAAGTCCTCCAAAAAAAAACTTTGGTCCCAAACTTCACATTTTTTTACATTTTTAGTCATTTTCTTCTCTTTTTCGCCTCGTTCTTCTTCTTGACGGGGTTTTAACCTACAAAAGTGAAAATTACACAATTATGAATAGAAATTTACTCAATTTTAATT